GTGTTACATTCGAAATTACCGTGTATTTAGCGGTTTTCTTTGGATTTTTTTTACTGATGTTACGATGGCACCTGCTGGAAAACGTCAACGTGTGTTTAGTGTAGAGGAGGCTCGAGATCTTGTTACTATGGAAGCATGGAGCATGGACTCTGATTCCGACGAATCGAGCAGTGACGAAGACTCTAGTGATAAAAGTGTTCCCTGAGAGTAGACTGATAGAATAAGAATGAATAAAAATTAATGAAAGAGCTAGAGATGACAGCAAGAAAGAGAGTAGACTGATAGAATAAGAATGAATAAAAAAAATGAAAGAAGGAGATAGAGATGACAGCAAGAAAGAGAGTAGACAGTGATAGAATAAGAATGAATAAAAATAATGAAAGAAAGAGATAGAGATGACAGCAAGAAAGAGAGTAGACTGATAGAATAAGAATGAATAAAAATTAATGAAAGAGCTAGAGATGACAGCAAGAAAGAGAGTAGACAGTGATAGAATAAGAATGAATAAAACTAATGAAAGAAAGATGTATCCTGTCTTGCCGTCATCTTTATATCTTTCTTTTATTATCTTTATTCATTCTTATGCTATCAGTGTTTACTCTCTTTCTTTCCGTCATCTCTATCTTATTATTATTATCATTTTCCTATCTATATGTACCCTATGTCTTGCCGTCATCTGTATATCTTTTTCTTATTATCTTTATTCATTATTATGCTATGAGTGTAATACTCTCTTTCTTGCCGTCATCTCTATCTCATTATTATTATCATTTTCCTATCTATATGTACCCTATGTCTTGCCGTCATCTCTATATCTTTCTCTTATTATCTTTATTCATTCTTATGCTATCAGTGTTTACTCTCTTTCTTTCCGTCATCTCTATCTTATTATTATTATCATTTTCCTATCTATAATTATGTACCCTATGTCTTGCCGTCATCTCTATATCTTTCTCTTATTATCTTTATTCATTCTTATGCTATCAGTGTTTACTCTCTTTCTTGCCGTCATCTCTATCTTATTATTATTATCATTTTCCTATCTATATGTACCCTATGTCTTGCCGTCATCTGTATATCTTTCTCTTATTATCTTTATTCATTCTTATGCTATCAGTGTTTACTCTCTTTCTTGCCGTCATCTCTATCTTATTATTATTATTATTTTCCTATCAATATGTATCCTATGTCTTGCCGTCATCTCTATATATTTCTCTTATTATCTTTATTCATTCTTGTGCTATCAGTGTTTACTCTCTTTCTTTCCGTCATCTCTATCTTTTTATTATTATCATTTTCCTATCTATATGTACCCTATGTCTTGCCGTCATCTCTATATCTTTCTCTTATTATCTTTATTCATTCTTATGCTATCAGTGTTTACTCTCTTTCTTTCCGTCATCTCTATCTTATTATTATTATCATTTTCCTATCTATATGTACCCTATGTCTTGCCGTCATCTCTATATCTTTCTCTTATTATCTTTATTCATTCTTATGCTATCAGTGTTTACTCTCTTTCTTTCCGTCATCTCTATCTCATTATTATTGTTATTTTCGTATCAATATGTATCCTGTCTTGCCGTCATCTTTATCTCTTTCTCTTATAATCTTTATTCACAGTAAAGTCCTTTCATTTCATATCACTATTTCTCTCTCATAATGTCTCTCACGTCCGTTCTCCATATTTTATTCATTGCATACTCCACTCGTCAATCATTTCTGATAATAAGCTCTCTCACAATAAAGTAAATGGAAAACAATGCAATATAGTTTATATTTTAAGATTGATTCATTCTTTCTTTGTATATCTATGGCTGTGATAAATGTACTTGAAATCAATTTTATTGAGGGGTAAAGAAGGTGAGAGAACAGATGCGGTGAACATTCATAATGAGACATTTCAATAAGATGCTGATTATGTCATGTATATCACATATAATATATTATGCCTATACCATTTTTACATGCTCATACCAGTGGGCAAAATCAATAACATTCTCTTATTTCTTATTGACTTATCATGGCACAACAAAGAAAAACATCCCCACGACGTCCCTTTTCATGCCCCGCTAAACCGGACATTGACAATAACCTGGGGTAATAGGGATTTCAATGGGCAGATTAGCCCATTGTCAAGGGTGGCTGAGCGGGGTACTTTCAAGTCTCTCCCTATTGAACTTCTTTTCTTCAACAACCTAAATACTAACCTTCTGAATTGTTAGAATACTTGAGCAAGGTATGTAAAGAAAGGTAAGAAGTCCACCTTTCTAATAGATTCGATTTGAAGATGTCTTATCATTGCTAAATAAGAAATTCTAGAGGGATAAAAAACTGCCGTAAATAAGAAAAATTAAACATTATATAATTATGATTATTATAAAAATGATAATTCAAAATATAACAAATGACGGTTCATCGAAAAGCACGTTTTCCGGTCTACAACTTTGCTGCACAATATTTTTCATCATGATCATCCAGTGAAGAGTTATAGCCTCTTGATTCAGCAGAGTCAATAAAGATTCCCTCGAAATGTGTGACCCTAAAAGAATGTGGCACAGGGGGTTTTTTAAGTGGCGCATAAAGAGTTAAGTATGAAAGGAAATGTTTCTTTGGCACTTTGGACCCTTGCTCAGTACTTGGCATCCCATATTAGCATGTGATTATTGTTAGGAATCTTTCAAACAGTTTTTTCTATATTCTAGCAAAACACAATTTTTTGTAATAGGTTGTTGGTATGATTTGAGTTTGAGAGGAAATGTTTCTTTGGAACTTTGTACCCTCCTCAGTACTTGGCATCTCATATTGGCACGTAATATAAACATGTGATTGCTGTTAGGAATCTTTCGAACAATTTTTTTTCTACATTCTACCCGTACACAATTTGTTTTTAGGTTATTGGTATACTTTTAGTATAACAGGAAATGTTTCTTTGGAACTTTGTACCCTGCTCAGTACTTGGCATCCGATATTGGCATGTGATAACATGTGATTATTCTTAGGAATCTTTCATTTCCAAACCTTTGGAGCTAAATTAATCATTTGTTGATAATTTCATTATTACATTCAAGCAATCAATTATTAGGTGAATTATGAACTACCTTACCAAGACAAGAATTACATCTTATTTTTTATTATTATCTCTTAATTTTTTAATCCTTTTTTTGGTCATTTTTTTCTTGAAAAAATATTTTCTTATTATTTTCTTTAATCTTTTTTAAGTATATGATTGTCTTTTAATTTTTATTTATTTATTTTTTATTTTTTAAACTCTCAATTGCAGTGTGACAAATGCAAGTCAGTGTACCACAGAGCGTGCAAGACGGAGATGAAACCCTGCCCCAAGTGTGTGCGAAGGAAAGTGAGGAAGACCCAGGCCGACCAGAACGCGAGCGAAGCAAACTTTGTCTCTCCCTTCACTTGATGAGCATGAGGAGGACCAGACCAAGGGCCCGTTTCACAAAGCCTTTTTTCAATGGCAAATGACAAAAATCAGTGACAAATCTGCTGATAACCAATCAGAAGCAAGGATTTCAGTAGCTTATAACAAAAACTGCAATTTGTCACTGATGACAAGTTTTGTGAAACGCCCCCCCCCCCCCCCCCTGGGCCCTGTTTCATAAAACTTGTTATCAATAACAAATGCTGAATTTCTATGACAAAGTTGCTCTCAGCCAATCAAATGGCATGATTTCAGTAGCTTATAACAGTTACACTATTGTCTTGCTATTGATGAAAAGTTTGATGAAAAAGGGCCCAGATGCCACAAGTTGCCTTTCATTCTCATATAAAGTGGTTGCCTTAATGGCCCTTTATTGCATCGATCAAAGACCTACATGTATTTAACTACACTAAAGCCTCGGTCACAAATGCCATTACGAACTGCTACGAACGCCGTACAAACGATTTTCAGACAATGGAAATTCGGGAAGACAATGGAAAAACAGGGAGACTCATACAAAATTATCGTTTGTACAAATCTTTGTGACCGTAGCATGAGGTGCCCTACCTGTACGATGCATTAAATGCTCATAAACACAAGTAATGGATACCGATATATCTATATAAAAATTCAACATGCAATATAATTTCTGGTTCATAATCACAGGAAATTAACTTTCTATTTTTCTCTCTCTCTCTCTCTCTCATTCTCCCTCTCTCTCTCTCTCTCCCTCTTTCTCTCTCTTTCTCTCATTCTTTGTTTTGTTTTGTTTTATTTTATTATTTTGCCTCTTGATGTAATGAATACATGTCAAAGATGTTTCCAAGGGGTGAAACCAAATATTTTGTAGATGACAGTATCTCTGAAAAAGTTAGCAAAATATATATGTATATTGCCATTGTTACATTCACATGTTAACTTCTCCACGATAATCAAGTATCGTGCCTGAATTTTTTTGAAGACTTCAGGGCCCCCGTTCCCTAAAAATTGTTATCAATAACAAGTGCTAAATTTCTATGACAAAGTTGCTTTTAGCCAATCAAATGGCACGATTTCAGTAGCCTATAACAGTTATTGTAACTTGTTATTGATAACAAGTTTTGTGAAACAGGGGCCCAGAATGAAGAGGCATGTGCCCAAGTGTGGAAGAACCTTATCATATTTGGGCCTCATTGTGCTTACATATTTCAAGCATTATCACCATTATCAAATAAATATTTTAGGAGATGTCTAGATCTTATCTTGTAAAGTGTTTTAAAGAAATGGTTGAACCAGTCACAATCCTAGACACAATCCAAATGAATAGAACTAACAATTGATTTTGAACAATTATAACCCTTTGGGCCCCTACATTGTAGTTGACTACATACATGTATTTAAAATGTTTTGCTTGTAACTGGTGTTGGTTTATCTGAGCATTTTTATTGTACGGACACCTACATGTACTTCTTATGTTTGCATGTAGTCTGATAGCCAATGGAAAACTGCATATTGCAGAGATCAAAACATATTCAAGAAATATAAGCAAGTTTAGTGATTCTATTTTGTATGTGAAGTCTGCACCAGCTACTGCAATCAATGTGTGTTTGTGCTTACAATGATTTCTAAACCATATGTTTAGTTTAGTTTTGTTATGTTTTTTCCTGATTATATTTTATATAGGTGCAATATATTTACTCTGTGCTATATTTCATTATAATTATTTGTGTAATTAGTACAGTAACTGTTTGAGGATTTTAGCATTGATGTTTCCCTTTTACGTTAACTCTTACACTACCTAATTCTACTAATGACTCGTTTCTGTGCTTAGTGAATTTTCTTGGCAAAGCTTGCTATTCCTAGATTATGAAAGAGTATCATCAGGATGCTGGTTGTAATAATGAGTTTAGAGTTTTATAACATCCAAAAGGAAAATTTACCTGTAACAACATGAACAGGAACCGGGGCGCATAAAACCAGCCGTTTGACATATACACTGCAGTAATCGCCAGAATGACTACCACTGGCGATAAGGAAGTGGCGGCTTTCTTGAGTCTGCCAATTTGCATCTGAGGAAGATGTCTGAACACTTGAAATTGAATCTGTTACAGGTAAATATTCCTTTTGGATGTGATAAAAGAACTCCTAATTTTTGTACACCGTACCGAGCTCATGTAGGAAGACTATCTAGTCTAAACAGACATATCTCTTTGTTTGCCACATGGATAATCTCCCTGTTCCACAGTCAGGGATGAGACAGAGAAATTCCCCAAAAGGAGGAAGATTAAACAGGGTTCTGGGGGCAATGCCCCTGGCGGGGGTTAAGGGGGCAGCAAGCCCTTTCTGCAGAAAACTTTAGAATATATTTACGTAAAAGGACATGTTTTCCTTGCATTTAAATTCTAAATGTGAGAAATAACTGTTACCCCATCTAGCTTAAAGGGACATTGTTCAGATGAGAGAGATTTTTCCGCGGTGGAATCACATCCCTGCACAGTGTAATTTGTCATGGGTTATAAACTTCATTTGCTCTGTACTAAAAAAAATTGAAAGTCTATATTTTGCCTTAAGAAATTTGTTTATCATTCACCCTAAATATATTTATTACAAAGATGTTTTTGTACAATCCCTGTATGAAACAAATCTATTCCTTCATCAACTAAGTAAATGAAATTAAGACATTATCTGCTCAGAACAAATTGGAGAGGAGCTCGCAAGACAAGTTACAGTGTTGCTAATTTTTGTTTCACTGATGACAACTTTAAAAGTTCATAACTTTCTTATTTTTAATTGCTTATTGCTCGAACTTTATGTGGAGGGGGGGATGTTTCACAAAGATCCTAAGTTGAACTTATCTCTAAGTTGGACTTAAAATTTATGGGAAGCCATTAGCATCCTTGAAAACATTTTGTAATTTTTTTTTTAGAAGGCATAAAATGTTGATTCAAATCATTCATATTTTCTATTATCATGGGAAATTTCATGTTCTTGATGTGGAATTGATGACAAGTCTAAAATACTCCAATTTTTGCTTTTGAATATATTTCATTTTAAGGCTCCAATGGCTGTCCATACTTTTTAAGTCCAACTTAGTGTTAAGTTCTACTTAAGATCTTTGTGTACAGAAAGACTCGACATTGATATTTAACTTTATTATTCCATGCTAATACTTAAAAGTTGTGGTGAAGGAATTATTCTGAAATAATGAAATTATTACGATGGTGTCACTTCATGTATTTATAGCAGATCTAGGATTCAAGTAGATCAAAATATATTGTACGCAAATGCTGTCATTTTCAGTATTAAATTTATAACATTGCAATGATTATGTCATTTGTGCATTTTATTAGTCTCTAACATTACAAAGCATCCAGCAGTAGAAAAAAAAGGTTTACAGGCATCTCAGAACAAACTGTGAGGAAAGGACATCTTATTTTCTGCTGTGCTGTTTGTTTAAACAGAATTATTGGACAGTAAAATCATTTAGAATATCAAGTCTTTGAGTTTGGTCACTTCCCTCTGGGGCATTAGAAAGCCTCCTCTTCTTCTTCTTCAAGATAATCTGCCTCCTTCAATACTGAAGATTTTTGCAGATGCCGTAAATACTCGGCCTGATTGGGGTGTGCAGGTGGACCAATACACCAGGGTTTCCCCTACCCTTATACCAATAGTGCAGTGGGTTCTTAACGTGCAAAGATGGTGACTCCATTTAACGTCCTATCCGAGGGAAGGAGTGTTTTTCACTTTACATAGTCTGCATCTATGAAACAAGGGGAGATGCATGTTAACACACAACGCAGGCTTCAGTCATCCACCTGCTGTATACTGCCAGGTTGACCTCGAGTACTGCTCTTCACATTAATCTACTAGCACACACATGATCAAGTATGTGAAGGACCCTTGTGGCACACAGCTTCTTTTTTTCAGTTCCTACTTGCCTTGAACAAAACTGCCATTATACTTTTAGTTTGCAATCTCATATGATAAACGACCTTTATGACTGATATATCTGTAATATGGCATTAGAAACAACACAACAAAATTTTGATTAAATTTTTTTTTTTACAGATATCCATAATTTAATTTCATCAAGATATAATACATGTATTCAGGGAAAATATAAAATTATATTCCTGTATGCATGAATATAAAATAGATTTCTGTTTGTTTATACAAATCACCCAAAAATAATTGTAAATCAGATTTATGATTTTTTTGGGGGTATAGAAAAAAAAAACTGTTTATTTCACAAAAACAATTAAAAAAGCATGACATATGCTAGTCTTAAAGCCAAGGAAGTAAAGTAAGCATATTCTAAAATTCTCAAATAATTCAACTATGATTCTAACAAATCAAAATTTGTATGAATTCCGTAATGTTTATTCAAACAAAACGCTACATACCGGTAATCAAAATGAAGAATAAATTTATATTACCTGAACCTTTAGCCAATGAAATATATGGAAGAAAAGGATTATGACAATCCAATGCACCTTACTTACATGTTTCATCACTTAAATAAACATTTCATATTTACAGCACAGTATGAAATTATTTGTATACTTTTTAAATTAGTTTAGATTTTGTTTTTGTTTTTTTGTTGTTGGTTAAATGTGTAAATTGCAGGGAATTTCATGAATTTTATTGCACAACTTTAAAAAAATATATATAATCGAAGCCTCAGAAATTCAAAAAGTTAAAAATATATATATGTGTCATGTAAAATGTTAACAAACTATTTGTAATGTTATGAATCCTCAATCATTACAGCACCAACACACGGATTGTGAACAAAATTAAGTTATTGCAAGACAACCGAGGTGCCACATATACGTACATGTACGTGTATGTAACATGTACACTCGTAACCAGAATTTTGGTGCATTTAAGCCCTCTTGTCAAAATAAAAGCTGAATCGGCTTCAAATCATAGACAATTGCAGTACTGGTCTGATATTATAGCAAAAGCAGATCGTAAAAAGATCAAATAACTGAAGATCAAGATGGAATGTCAATAATTGATCGCATGATAACAACATATCTTGGTTCGCGAGTAAATCAGCTCCATATGTACAGACAAGGAATTTCATCACAATACATACTACATAAACTGTTTGTTTGTTTAATTTTACATGTTGTTCTGCATTTTTCAATATAATACAAAGTAATATACATGTACAAACTACATGTAGGTACATATATATTATTTACAAAAGTTAATATTCAATGAAAATAATGTATTGTAACAAAGATCAGGACTACATCTTGGCAATGAAATCAAGAGTTGTGTTTGGCTTTGGCTTGAAGTCAAGTGGTCAGCTAACTACTTAAACATGGCCGGTACATATATCTACAGTTATGAGATGTAAACAATCTCTTTTAACAAACCATGCTTAACAGCTGCACATCTGGTCTGGTTACACAGTGAATAAGCACTTATATTTGCATGCATGAAATACAAGTTGTCTCTATAACAATTTCCAAAGCAGATTGCTTCTAACATAGAAAAGAAATGTTCAAAACCTGCCCCCCCCAAAAAAAAAAAAAAAAAAAAAAATTGGACATACAAGAAGTTGTACCAAAAAAATCACTAATTTCCAAAAAAGAATACCTTCCTCTTTGTACGATACATGTACCTGTGAACGTACAATGCACGTTAGAAAGACATGATTTGAAAGAAGAATTTCTACAATCGGACATCATCATATAAAATAACAGCCACACAAAACTTTGACGCAAGATGTAAGGCAAGTTAATACAGGTACGGCTTCATGGTAAAAGAGATGATCGGCCTTTTGAACAAATCATCAGATTGTTGATCAAATGGTTTCAGTTTCTAGCTTACATATAAGCCTTTCGGCAAGGCATTAATTTATATGTACATTAGTGATTCAATCTCTACTATAGGGCGCTCAACGGGTCCTGTCCCATCTCTACACCCTCTCTCATTGTCACAGTTCCTCCCTTGCTTTTCTCTGCATCCTTCCTTCCATCACCTTCACTGCACGCATCTTCCAATCTCTCATCCAATCCGCTTCCTTCTGATCCTACCGTTGATCTTCCCCCTTCTGCGCCTTCCGTGGAGTCATCTGCTGACACTGGCTTCTCTGGGTGACTGACGTCGTCTTTGTGGCTCCTGTCGATGGTCTCTGGTCCAACAGAGGGAGCCCCACTGCTTGGTGCAATTTTGTCCAAGGATCGGGAGTGGGAGACATTCTCAGCGAGAGTTTTGGGCCTTGAATCCGTGTCCTTGATAATGATAAATTAAGAAATTAAAAAATTCAGCAAGAAATGTATACGAGAAATTTACATGTACATGTACATTTCATTTGCTTCATATCTAAAAATGATTAACAAAACAATATTAGTATTTACATTTTAGTAAATGTTCAGGAAATTGTATGTTAATACAACTACACAAGTCATTGCTACAAATAATTGCTGCACTCATACTTATTGCAGCTGAGGACAGATAAGAAATTGATTTACTTAATTTTTCATTTCCTATACTCATTCACATGTAGCTTAACAGCCGACCCATAGGCAATATCAATGACATGTGCTTTAATATGACAAAGACCATGCCCACTGAATAGAAAGATACTGCATATTTCAGAAAAACAAAATTACTTACTGGGACCCGTTTCACAAAGCCTTTTTCAATAACAAATGACAAAAATCAGTGACAAATCTGCTGATACCCAATCAGAAGCAAGGATTTCAGTAGCTTATAACAAAAACTGTCATTTGTCACTGATGACACGTTTTGTGAAATGGGACCATGAAGAAAGCAAAATAAGCCAGTTCCAAAAAGGTGAACAAAGATATACGTGTACACATACCTCTTGGGAAGATTGACCTTTTGACCCCTTCAATTTAGAAAGGGCAAGGTCCATCGCTGATGCGCTTTTTGGTATGAGAAGATCACTCGCATCAATCTTGACAGCAAGGGGGTCATCATCGGCGGCTTCTTTGGTTGCCGTATCTTTTGTTTTGGGCTTGGTAAGATCAGAGAGGCTGCCAGATTTTGGGACGTCTTTGGTTTCAAGACCAACAAAGTCCAGGATGGTAGATATTTTGTTTGAGTAGTCCAAGTGACCTGTGACCTGTCAATCATGCAGAGGGATATGAAAAACTGGTTCATTGATAGTTGTGTGTTTGTGTATTTTTAAAGTTGTTTTTAAACACATTAAAAAAATATTAAAAAAGAGAATTCAGGGGGAAAAAATGGCATCTAACATTTCCCCCTTTTGAGTAAGAAAAATTGGGAAATAATAGGATAAAATCAGGAAGAAAAAAAACAATTAAAAAATCGGGTAAAAAAATAAAAAATAAATAAATGAATAATAATAATCAGAAAAACAATTTAAATTGGGTTTTTATTAAGCCTTAATTTATGCAAGTACCATGGTTGTGACACAAGAAAGTTTAAAATACCAGTATATTTATAACTGAATGGAAAAACATGTAATAATTTTTTTTGAGAAGATACAATCCACAGGATCAGATGTCATGACTCACTCACCACTTCTGTAATATCCACATTGACCATACGTCTATTGTCCCATCGGACAGGCTCCAATCCTGCAATATCATTGACCTGCATGGATGCTGTCCTGTAGACAAACTGTAACAGCCAATCACCTCTAAACAATAGCAGCAAAAACAAACAAACAAACAAACATGTCATTACTATGTGGTTACGATTGTACAAATATTGCTCTAGCTAAAGAAGCTCTGTAGTCAATTTCCTAGACGGATGGGTTCGGACAGGTTCTGATCCTATAACATTGACCTGCATGGATGCTGTCGTATCTAACAGCCAATCACCCCTAAACAACAGCAAAAACAAACAAACAAACAAACATGTCAATACTAGGTGGTTACAATTAGACAACAATTGCTCCAGCTAAAATAGCTCTCCAGTAGATTTCCTACGTGGAAATTGCTCTAAGACCTTGATGGACAAATTACACATCTCTGCCTTGATCCATTATCTCAGCAGATATTGTATAAAAATCATTGATTTCTTGATTCTCCTGCAGTTTTTAATTGTACCAATTTCAAAGTTTTAAAGAAAATGGTGTTCTTGAAGACTAACCTGCAATAGCCATTCACAATATGCCCAGCCACAACTTTCTCAAATGGTCTCCACTGGGCAACGGACGAAGTGACCGGCGCCCCCAAGAGGTAGACGTCCTGTACGATCCCCTCACAGCCCTTGCGTTGAGAGAGCTCCTTGAGACAGAAGAAGATGACCCTTGCCCCCATGCTGAACCCAACCAGGGTCACGGGCCGTTTGCCTTGTTGCCGTGACAACAGGACCTAAATCAAGAGAGAAAAGCAGCCATCTTTAATAACGATGTCAAAGGTTGTAATTTACCCTGCCTACATAGTTGGAACAAATGTACGAGCCAGTGTTGGAGGTTCATGGTTCTTGCATTACCTTTGAAGAATTAACATGCATTTTAAAAATATGGGCAAAAGGGGGTACTAGCACTCTATACGCCAACATTTTGTGTACAAATACATGTATATTTACAAATGAAAGAAACATAGACACTACTACAAGTTGTTTTTGCAATATATAAGGCAATTTAGAATACCTGTTCCCATCTACATTACCACCTTAGTTTTGAGTGTTGTTTGATTTGCGAATCAGTAACAATTCTCAAAATTTGCAATAAGAAAACTCATCCAAAAATAATACATTTTACAGTATTTTTACAGCCTCCTCTTTTCCAAACCTATTTGGAATGACATAAATATCACAATACAACTAGATTGAGCCTGTTGAGAGCACTGGTAATGTCAGTCTTTCGATATGGCAGTGAAACATGGACACTCAGATGCGAATCAACGCTTTGGAGATGAATTGTATGAGAAGGCTTCTGCATATCGACTACACTTTTCATACATCCATCAAGAAAGTGAGAGAGATAATGGAGAGTTATATAGAGGAACATGATCACCTCATCTCAATTGTGGAAAGAAGACAACAGCAGTGGTTTGGGTATGTAATGAGATGCAAGAATATCTTGCAAGGAGGAACTGATTGGAAGAAGAAAGAGGGGCAGACCAACTAGGACATGGACTGATAACATCAAGCAGTGGACAGGCATGTCATTTCAGCAGCTAACTAGAACAGCTGAAGACAGAAACTTATGGAGAACCTGTGTCTCAAGGTCAATTACATTGTTGCCCCGGCCAACTGCCGCCAAGCTATGGGGACCCCGCCCCCCCCCCCCCCACTCAGTGTTATATTGGGTACGCATATGCATGTTCCCTCCTTTTGAAAACACCCCCCTAAGTCGGGTGTGTAAATTCAATACGGGCCAGATTTTTGTGTACTACGAGCCGGACTTTGTTGCGTGAAAAGTACCGGACATTTTGGGAACACGTATGCGGTCCCTCCGACCCCGGAGTGGGGGGCCGGGATGGGGACAGAGATAGATACAGTCAAACCTGCTTTAGTAACCACCTGTCTACAAAGACCACCTGTCTACAACAAGCGTATTTTTTTGTTTCCCTTGAAAATGGTTTGTCATTGAAACATGTAAAAGGAACCTGTCTATCACAAGCATATTTTTTGTTTCCCTTGGGCGGGCGGTCGCTGTAGACAGGTTTGACTGTAGATGAATTGATTTCTTTCTTACCTCTGCAAGCTGCTTACCAGCTGCGCTCGCCCTACTAGTAGCAACGCTCCATGGATTGTCAATGGAATTTGAAATGGCAGCGTAGGCTGCTGCTGGTAGGGCTATTGCTGCAAGCAAACCTGTCAGATGGAACAAAAAAAAGTTAAAGATAATCATGAGCTCTGGTATGGGAATCATATTTTGATAGAAAAATTGCTATGATTTATTCTGGATTGTTTATCCTGCAGTAGATTGATTGTTTGGACCAGTGAAATAAAACAAACGCACAAAAACTTACTGGACATCATCTTAGATAAAAACCACATGCAACTCGATCTGCTTTTGCACATAGTGACTTGTGTGAAGCACATGGTGTTTGGCTATTTATCCTAATCGTTCTATGCTCAGTAATGGTAATCTTGTGAATATTTATTTTCTATCATTACCAGAATTCAAGCTTATCTTTAAGCAGGGCCTATTCCATGAAATGGTAAATGGGTACCTGGTAGGATTATTCCTTGAAATGCACTGTGCACTGATAACTGATATAGCTAGGGTAATAACTTCCAAAGCTCTTTGGAAGCGCTTAGGGACGTTATATAATGTGATATACGGTATACAAGAACTGAATATTGTTAAAGGTCCTTACCTGCAAGAACAGTGTATTTGAGGGCTTCCTTGGCTGCCATACTCATGACTGTATCAAGAATATACTCCAACGATTCACCCAGTTTGATCAAGTATTGAGACTCCCATTTCAAGCAGTAGATCTCATTACAGGTCGCTACACAACGCCAAGGAATGGTGAAGTTATCTGCAAAAAGGGGAGAAAAGATGTGCCATTACTTCTCTACTCAAAGATAGTTGAAGACAAATACTGCCCAGAACAAATATCTCTCACAAACAGACACCTTGGCTGGACATGCAAGGAAATTGTCTTGGAAGGAGGGTGATAGTCGAGAGGAATTGTCCTAGATTTTTCTTAATTTTAATACTTATTCTTCTGTACACCATCTTAACTTACTGCTATGCAACTGCTGCTTAAGGATATCCTTACAGGCTCATGCCACAACGCCCCATCAATCTCAATCTCACTACCCTAGGTGCCTTTAGAAGGTGGTCCTTAAACTCTAATCATTCTCACTAACCTAGACGGTCCTTAAACTATAATCATTCTCACTAACCTAGGCGGTCTTTCAACACTTCTCAATCCCACTAACCTAGGCGGTCTTTAAACACTTCTCATTCCCACTAACCTAGGCGGTCTTTAACCACTTCTCATTCCCACTAACCTAGGCAGTCTTTCTGCAGCCAACCAGAGACTGCAACGGTCACATGAAGATCCCTTCCTTCTGCCAAAGCAGTGAATTCAAACTCTTCTACCTCACCAACTCGCTTCTTCATTTTGTATCCTGAAAGGAAAAAAATAGCAGGATAAAGAATGCATAAATAAAGAAAATTTACATTGAATTAAACAAGCACCTTCCTAAGAGCAAGCTGATTTGAATTAATAATATAAATCACAATTCAGTGAATAAATAAATGTATGCAGTTGCATGTATGTACAGTGTATGAAAGAGAAAAAAACAAAATATGTTGTATGTTGTGTTGCTGCAATCAATGTCGGTTCAAACTTGTATCTATGTGAGTACTGCTTGTTTTGGGGCATTGGTTTTTGTTTCGGGTAATTCATGTTTCAACAATGTCAAAGAAAATTCATATGTTTGGTTTCTGGAAATTATAGAAGTAAACATGAATAAATGAAATGAAAAAATGAAAAAATAAATGAATAAATAAAATGTTAAGAAAAAAAATAAAATTAATTAATCAATTAATTAATCAATTAATTAATAACTTTCTCATATCTTAATGGACTGATTTCACTTAGTTGGAGGCATGTCATTCTCCCATCCCTTTCCTATACACAAACACTAAACAGAAATTGAACTCTTGTTACCCGACAGTCCTGCTCCCGCTGCACCCAGAATCGATCCGATGATCGCTGCCCCAGCTACTGTCCCGAAGAAGCTAAGACTTGTCCCCAGAAATGCTGCCCCTGCTGTAGCTATCAGAGGAGCTGCGAGCCCTCCTGTTAGGCCTGTCAATCAGGATGGTTGGATAAAAGAAAGACGAAATGAAATGTATGAAAGTACAAAGGAATGAATCTTTTTAATGATATACACTGGTATAGCTAATTGGAAGTACATACCCCCTCCCCTCTTTCGTTTAAAGGAGAGAGGTAGGAAGGGAGAAAGAGAGAGATAACGATTACGAAAAGAAGATGATTGGAATCTATCTCCCTACATCCTCTCCCCCCCCCCCCCCCTCCCCCCATTTACACCCAGCTACATGTAGTAACATTTCATCCAAAATCATTTTGAATCCATTTATACAGGTTTACAAACAAAACAGATATGGATATTAGGCAAGTGAGCATGTAAATCAAAATTTTCACCTGCTTTACCTGGCAAAATGACACAAATAGTTACCGGTAGCTGTGTGGACAAGAGATGCACAGGTATATCTCTTTATGCACTCTAAGGTTATAAACATCATTTTGCAGCATCCACAAAATAAATCAAACTCTGTCAAATTGTTGACAGAGATTGCTTCATCATAAAAACAAAAAGGCCTAGAAATAGTGACCCTAGTAGATTAATCATGTTTGCCCCCTACAGTGAAACCTGCCTATAAACACTGCCTATAAACACCACCCAAGGGAGACAAGAAAAGTGGTCCTTGTAGGCGGGTGGTCTTTATGTACAGGTTATTTTAGTTCATGTTTCAATGAGAAAACATTTTCAAGGGAAACAGAAAATGTGGTCTTTGTAGACAGGTGGTCACTAAAGCAGGTTTGGCTGTATCTTGTTTCTACCCACCTATGATAGCTCCTCCTCCTATTGTAGCTGCTCCTATCATGACGTAACGTCTAGCCTTCCTGAACTTTGCTTTCTTGTCTCGTTCTCTCTTCTCTTCTCTGGTAAATTTGAAGAGAAAGAAAAAATACTGATGATCGAAACTTAAAGCCTATCTGCACTAGTATGGCCAGGGGGGATTAGACCTCCCTGCGTGGTCACTGACAGGGGATTTTCTCATAAAATCAGCTCTCATTTAACATAAGAAAAAGGGGATCTTGGGGGACGAACGGGTGCTGCTTAGGTATTAACGTCTGCAATATAGAGTAGAGGGCGCAAGTAGCCACATGTAGGGCAGTCCTACTTTAAAGCATTCACCCACTGAATCTGACTTGATTTTGTTTGAAACTTGGTATCCAAGGGGTCTGTATTTCCATGGGTAATACAAAAGAAATGAACCAGTATCCTGAATTTAAACCAAAAATAAGGCACAAAATAACACAAAATACATGTAGGCTACTAAGGCAGCTTAGCGAACTGTAGTGGTACAAAAAGACACATCCAGAACACAAACTGCATATTTGTTTGAAATCATAATTTCATCACACAGAGGTAGATCTACATTGTTATACATGTAGGAGTTGGAAAATTCATATCTTAATGAGGCTTAATGTTAGCTAAACTTTAACTCCGATAAGTAAAAAGAGAACTTTTAATCAACAAACTTCAGAAACTGTTATGCACTTTGTGCTCCACACATGTCGTTTCATACCACTTCAATATTACTGAGTGGAAATTGCCCCAGGGTCCCCATATCAGCTATAAAGACAATTAAATAATCTGCCAGTTACGCAAGATAGGAATAGACATGTATTTTTATTCTTGGTTGTAAATGAAAAATAAGAAAGAATAGACTTACTCAGTGAGCTCGTGCTCTTCTTGTTCATAAACATCAATGATTCCCTTTTCAAATGCTCTGATTATCTTCCAGCTAACATCAAGGCGCTTCGATATTTCCCTCACAAGGACTCGCATCCTAGCATCATATGTTCCATCACTCAATGCCTGGGTGATCATGTCCTGAAAAGAAATGTTAAAACATGATTATCAATACAGGGGTTGCTATAATGTTTATGGTGAATGTATGATTGAATATGTTCATAAGAGAAATAAAATATACCTCACAGAGTTGCCAATTTGTGTTTGATTGATCGTATATTTATATCTTTCTTATTTTTAATCGGTTTTTGCTCCAACTTTCACTGATCTGTTTCTCTCATTTTGTTTGCTTCTATTAAAACGAACTTGATATCAGGGTGGGTTCTACCTTTAAAAAAAATCCTTGCAGTAAACAGTGTCATACATGCAAACAAGCCTTTAACAATGACCATGGGTGATAGTGAGCTCCACCTCAACCACCCCCCCCCCCCCCCTTGAGTAAAAAATATTTTAAAAATTCACGGGGAAAAAATGGCATCTAACAACATTCCCCCCTTTTGAATAAGAAAATTTGGAAAAAATAGGGAAAATCTGGAAAAATAGGGGAAAATAAGGGAAAAATAAGGGAAAAATCAGGAAAATCTGGGAGAAAAAAAAATTAGGGGGAAAAAAAATATGTACAATCAGGGAAAAAAATTATAATCGGGGAACTGATTTAAATTGGGTACTTATCAGGCCTGAATGACACTCAGATACCTCTACAATTTAAAGAAAAGTTGGTATACCTTTGGGATAATCTCTGGCTTGATGAGGGAGGGATCCTCTAGAAGCACTTCTGTGAAGACATCTGCATTGGCGAGGTCATGATGGTTCGGATCCTCAACCATGATACTTAGGGTCTCCACTGACTGCTTGGGAAGCTTCAGGTATTTACTAAGAGACTTCACCGTCTTTAAGTTCCACTGTCTGAGAAATGTCAAAATGAAAATGGAGTTGGAAGGTTTGACAAAAGGAATCTACACATGTACAGAGATGCCAACCTCTTGACACAAAAAAACAGACTGAGTATCCTAAAAAATCAGACTTTGGAGAGAAAAATCAGATTTTCACAAAAACTCGACACTACCAATGGCCGGTTGGCCCAGGGCCAGTAAAATTTCAGAAAAATGTGATACTGGTACGTACGGTCAAGTAAAATGTTTGCTCTTTCATTAAAATTTTAAAAGAAAATTGTTAAGCAAATTTTTTGTTGGGGTTGCGGGGGTTTACTTGTACATGTCTCTATGCGATTCCGTGGTTTTTATGGGTATAAAAAATAAAAAAAACAAAAAAAATAAATCATATTTTAAGAGCTAATATCGTATTATTGTATTCCACTCTTACTATCGTACTAAATACGATTAAATCGTACTGGTTGGCATCTCTGCTTGTACATGTACTGTACATATCAATTACTAAGCGAAGTCTTTAAAGCCTGTCTGCACTAGTTTGGCCAGGGGGATTAGACCTCCCTGCAAGGTCACTGACAGGTGTTTATCTCATCAAATCAGCTCTCAATTAACATTAGAAAAAGAGGATCATGGTGAGACCAACAGGCACCGATTGGGCATTGTTTGCATATAGAGGGTGCAAGTAGCTATATACCGGTAGTGCAGTGGGGCTTTAAATGACGGGGCTTTAAATGACGGAGCTTTTTTCAGATATCCATGCTACATTATATATGTAAGGTTTGTTCACATATGGCATAAACCCTACAGGTTTCCCACCTGTAGGGTCTTTAGCATATTTGGGTGTGCTGCTCTTTTTTTAACCTTCTAACAAACATACCTCTGTTGCCTATAGCCAGCTTTTCATCCCCATTTTGGTATTCATTTAGTAAACATAGCGGTTGACTGTAGCATACATGTATGTAAACCAGCCTTTAGGAGTTTTCAAATAATATTTATACCCGAGTCCTGAGCCATATGCAGGACCCATATATTTACATGTATCTTTGAAAAATGAAATAGTATACAAAGAATGGTTATGAGTTCAATCTTTCAACGAATGAAAATATTCGCACTATTAAACGAATGAAAAACATTCATTATTTGTTTTATACAACAACGAAGAAGATCTACATGTAATAGAACGTTAATCATTAAATTATGCTTTACTCCTTATATTAAAGATAAATTTAAGTTGGAGTCAGGCCTTCTCGATTACATTCAGATTGCCTTCGCGTCAAATACACGCAGGGATATGCTCACGGTAGACAGGTACGCAGTCTGCACATAACCAAAAATGCATGGCGAATATAAAACCAAAAATGCACGCCCGTGCAATAGAACATCTATTGAATTTCATGTGGCCAACAATCCTCCTATCAAATGACAAGGATCCACGTAGGTGTTGTATAAATTAATAACCTTTTTTCAAAAACATATGCAGTGGTACTCTTAAAGAGTCTTGCTGACCAATCAACACTTGATGTCATCATGTGGATTGGACCTTGACAATCCTGGGGGGCATTTCACAAACATCCTTAGTCGAACTTAACTCTAAGTTAGACTTAAATATTATGGAGAGCCATTAACATCCTTATAAATATATTGTAAAAGTTATTTTAAAAAGCATAGCATGTTGATTTAAATCATTCATATTTTCTATTATCAAGGAGATTTCAATGTTATTGATGTGAAATTTATGAACAGTCTAAAATACTTGAATTTTCGCTTTTTTATGTATTTTATTTTAAGGCTACAAAATACAAATGGCTCTCCATAATTTTTAAGTCTAACTTAGAGATAAGTTTGACTTAGGATCTTTGTGAAACACTCCCCAGACCTTACATGTAGGTGGGTGAAGCCTATGAATAGAATCTTTACACCGAAACAAACTCTGATAAATGTATTGTATGTAACACTTTCTCTGCTGAGAGCTAAAAGGGCATGACCTCTGTGAAAATGGAAGACTCAATATCCATTAGGGCTGCGACGAGTAGTTGAATGCTCGAGTACCCGCACTGTTGACAACTTCTCGTACTCTCGTATATTCGGTCGCAAAAAAAAAAAAAATTAAAAAAAAAAAAAAATCCCGGTCACCTGGCACTGTCGAGGCCGACGCTTAGCCGTGCCAGGGAGAGCGGCAGCCGCTGGCATGGTACCGTTGGTCAAAATGTTTCCCAACTCAAGCACTGTCAAGCTCACCACTCAGAAACTGGGACCAAATGTCCGGATTTCTGTTTGGACTTGGATGGAAAATGGATTATTCTGCCATCTTTGGTTTTTAAAACAGCATTGTTTACTGTTATTATTATTATTAAATCGGCGCCTTCAACTGCAACTCAAAGTAAAATTGCACGCATTTTCGGCGATGGACCCGGGATACTCATCCAGTGGTATGGTGGTGGCAAAAAGAAATCTAAAATCTAAAATCTAAAATCTAAAAATTCAAGAACGACAAAAAAACAAACAAATTAAAAAAAAACATGGCGTTTGAATATTCGAGTATTCGCTTGTAAGCCTGGGAGTGTACTTGGGTACCTCATTACACTGTTGTGCACAGCCCTAATATCCATGCATCTCTCAGCTGACAATTTCAACTTACTTGTTCCACTCGTTCTCAAACAGGTTAGGAAGGCATACAGCAACGAGTGATGAATAGGCAAACTTGGCTACATCGTTCAGTACCTCAGGGAGGGGTTTCTTGAGCTGTTCTTCCGCAAGACTAGTTAGACTGCTATCCTCCGATCCCGAGCTGCTCATAGTGCCCCCAGACCCAGCTCCATCCCCTACATCATCACCGATCTTTCCCCCTTCCTTGCTTCCTCCTTGACCCCCGCCGCTTCTCCCAGGGGATTCTGTATCTGTAGGGTTGCTGGACGACTCCTCTGAACCCTGTGAGAATGTCATCAGACCTTGCTGCAGCCGTGCTTGGTATATTTCATCATCGTGGTCATCAGCGTGGTCATCCTCTGGGGACGGTTTGGGAATAGTGTCGGGTGGCTCTTCCTGGGAAGATATTCCGCTGGACGAAGCCTCGCTCGGAGAATCCACTTCTTTGCAGGAATCTGTGTCTGTTTTTATCTCTGTTGATTTGGTGGTGTCGTCCATGCCCTCCATGTTTCCAGTATGACAGTATTAGAAAGCAAAATAGAACCAAGCTTTTAATTGTCCTCCCTCTTCAGTTCCTCATCTAACCTGATCAATACCTAGGAGAGAGAGAGAGACGAGGATACACAGTGTATGACAATAGTGCAATTACAGGTACATTCAGGAAGATATTTGAGGTATTTGTCTGAATTTTTGATGTTGGGTTTTCTAGATGGAAACTGTCACATTCCTGGCTGCTTTTATATCTCTTGAAAATGTGGGTCAGATGGTATGGTTTTTTAGATCTTCTACAACAAAATCAATTCAGTCTGTTTATCATTAAAACAAAAACAAATCCTGAAAAAAATAAAAATTTATGTCATATTCATAGCTCATCATTGTTGGGTAGGGATAGAAAAATTCAGATTAAGGAAGTGGAATTACAGGATGGGCCAGGCTATTAAACTTATTATTTTCTTTTTCTTTCTTTTCAGGTCTTGGTACATGGTATAAATTAAGAGATTATCAGTGCTTCAAATTTCCTAGATTCACAAGATCCTTTAATGCTCTGTCTGACAATGTAAACTAGGAGGCGAGTTGGCTCAGTCGGTAAAGCGTCTTCCTGTCGAACCAAAGATCTCGGGTTTGAAAAACTTTGAATCCCACCCAGGCGAACGACTGAAACCTGCGTTGTGTGTTAACGTGCCCCTCCCCTTGTTTCATAGACGCAGGCTATGTTCAGTGGAAAACACTGTCCCTCGGTTAGGACGTTAAATGGAGGCCCCATGTAGAGGAGAGTCACCACCCTTGCATGGTAAGAACCCATTGCACTATTCGTATAAGAGTTCAGGGAAACCCTGGTGTAGTGGTCCACCTGCATACCCCAATCATGCAGGCCGAGTACAAGTATATACGGCATCTGCAAGAATCTTCAGTATTGAAGGAGGCAGATTATATTGACGAAGAAGAAACTTTCTTTGTTTTTACAGATGAGAAAGATCTATTTCACAAACATTACCCCCAACATTTCATGAATAAAGGGGCATGTTTTCACAAAAGGTTGGGTAACAATAAGACCACCGGAACCGACTGATGATTCGAATGAAGCTAGTTTCACTTTGTACTGTAACACGCGTACATATACTGAACTTGAATATTCTATTGTTATTTTAGTCAATGGAATGAAACGTACAGCCAAGTTATCTCAAGCTGCAATCATACTCATAGTTCATACTCATCATACATACCCCCCCCCCCCCCCCCCCCCCCCCCCGGCCCCCTCCCCACAACCACCCACACACACTTAAAAACAACTGACCATGTCGTATGTCGTCCATGTATTGATCTATGACTATGGTATTGATGTAATCATGTAAAATGTTCACAAATAAACGTTAGGGCTACATCATCAAACATGCGCGCTTCAAAAGATTACATGACAGTCAACACTAGAGTCAGATCACACGTAGCCTACACATACTGCAATGATTGCACTGCACTGAATTACTGATCACGCGCAGAACGCTTGGATTTGGAAATCACACAGAACACAGAAACAGATTTCAGAAGTTCTTACACTTTACAGATACATAACATACCTCACGAAAACATGCAGTCGTAAGCTGATACATAAACATTCACCACATCAAATTTGTGTCGAATGAAAATTGGATTGATATCAAGCGATGAGCGGTACTGCACTCTCTGCCTCTGCATCTGTGAGACTGTGTGACTTGATATGCATGCAGTTAAGTTACAAACAAACTGCGTGTGCATCTGTACTCTGCATTGTGTGTTCGTACGTACAGTCATGTATGATGTAGCTCGCTAGCGCTGGTGACACACACACGAACAGACAAAGATTCGGGGAATACCCGTCTAGCTCTGAGCTGAGGAGAGGAAGGGGGTGTGTCCATCTTAAAACGTAAACAAACTTATGTCAGCTTTTGTAAGTTTTCGGCTACTTGAGATGGCATCATTAACAAGGCTGTTGGTAATCAGTGTCTGACTCAACTTCACATTTCCAATGATAGTATACGACAGTTATATTTCCCTTTACTTTAGATCTGTTTTAGTCAAAGTTTACTTGATTTGTACACTTCTTAAACAAATTTATGTGGGGAAATATTCCTCCTTAGGTGGTGATGGCAAGGGACACTGGCGTACTCCCCCCTCCCAAATAGAATTAATCCATGACTTATTTTCAATCCCATACAAGTGATTTATAAATCTTCTTGATATCACATGATTTTCAACAAAATGCGCGTTTCTAAATTTTTTGTTGCAAACTGACACATTCCCAACTAGCATGTTTTTGTTTATAGTCACTAATGGGCCTTAGTGGCCACTAACAGTAACACTAGTAGAAAATTCCTTTCCAAAAGCTAATGCGACAAGCACTGCCGGGAGAAACATGCTACCCACCAATCGGGCTGTGCATGCACATATTTGAGAACGAACGTTCCATACGTACACTTATTTATTTATTTATTTATTTCACATAGGACCTATACAGGGTATCTCATTCAGATTAAAAACTGATCTTCCATACAGCCCTGTCTCAATAAAAATACACATACATACAAATCATGTAACACTGCACGTGTACCGTTAAGGGGCCAAGTGGGGAAAGTGAATTCAGACAAGGATTAAGAGTAAAGAACGGTACAACGAATCATCTTCTTTCTATAATACTTTAAAGCGTATATGCCATAGTTTACAGGAGGGATTAGATTGCCCTGCAAGGTTACTGGACAGGTGGTTATCTCATCAACTCAGCTCTCAGTTAACATAAGAAAAAGAGGATCATGGGGGACCAATGGTCACCGATTAGGCATGGTTTGTTATATAGAGGGCGCAAGTAGCTACAAGTAGTGCAGTGGGCCTTTAATGAAACGGCAAAGCTTCCGCGCTTTTCGCGGGAAGTGTGTGTGTGTGTGTGGGGGGGGGGGACTGAATTCAGACTAGGATTAAAGTCAAGAACGGTACAACGAATCTTCTTCTTTCTCTAATGGGCGAAAATGATTTCAGACAAGGATTAAGAGAAATAGTTAGATGAAACGTCAAAGGGAGGGGCGAAACAAGAATTAAAAGTCGGGAACGGGACAACGGACCGTCTTCTATCTCTAATAATTTAATGAAGTGTCAAAGGGGACAACTGAATTCAGACTAGGACACGATACAACGAATCGTCTTCTTTCTCTAAAGATTTAATGAAAGTAAAAGCTCCCGCGCTTCGCGCGGAATGGGCGAAAATGAATTCAGACAAGGATTAAGAGTAACAATTTAATGAAACGTCAAAGCTTCCGCGCTTCACGCGAGAGGGGGGGGGGGAACTGAGTTCAGACAAGGACACGATACACGTGATGAACCAAATCACTTTCCTCAGTATGCTTTGACCGACTTTAATATCTCATTTTCGCAGCTTACTTGGATGGATCAAATCAATTTGTCAATTACTCTGTCAAAAAGAAACCTTCTTAAGACGAAACCACAACTATCCTACGTAAATCCCCCGCCCCTTTGAAATTAATTTTGCCGTATACGATTTTTATTGTTATGCCTACGCGGCAGATAATATTATAGGAATATACACTGTCTTGAGAGGTTCTGGTTAAAACTATGCGCAAGAGGTGACTCCAATAGTACTATTTGCTGAGGGGCGCTATTATATCATGCATCAAAAATTTATTGGTTTTTGATTGGTGGAGAGCTTGTCACGTGACCAGAAATATTTCAACTATTTTAAGGTTGCTCTGAAAAAGTACTATATGAGAGTACTATTTGGGAGTAGAAGTACTATGTTGGTGTACTATTTAGGAGTTGAAACAAAATTGCATTTTCTTTTTCGAACTGATTTTTTTGGTTAAATCTTAATTTAATGAAAACAATTTTTTTCTTTTTCTAAATTGTATTTTTTCCCCCAAAATGGTATTTTTTTTATTTTTGCGGGATATAAAACAAATATACCATGCCTTCTATTCGCGATACTGGTTAAAACTATGGGCCTCGGTGACTCCAAAAGTACCATTTGCTCCGGGGCTACATTGGACAACATTTTCCCAACATCGATTTGCCAAGTAACATCTACCCCAGGGGCGCGCCACAGGGGGGGGGGCATGGGGCGGCAGCCCCCTATCATTTTGAAAAGGGGAAGCGGAAGGGAAGGAGAACGAAGAAAAGGAGAAGGAAAAGAAGGAGAATAAAAGAAAAGGAACGGGACGAGAAGGAGAAAGGCCAGTAGAAAGATAACTATAAAATATGACATTAGGGAGGGCGGGGGAGAGGGGGGAAATAAAGATAGAGAAAAAAAGAAAAAGAGAGAAAAAGCACATCCCCCGTCAGACATCCCCTGCGTTCTTGTTCCCTTGAGACTTCTTGAACTTAAGACTATTTTCTTTTTAATTTGGCAAAAAGTTCATTAGATTATTAAAGACAGAAGACGATTCGATGTACCATTCTCAACTGTTAATCCTTGCTTGAATAAAGTTCCCCCTCCTCCGCGCATAGCGCGGAAGCTCTGACGTTACATCAGATTATTAAAGAAAGAAGACGATTCGATTTACCATTCTCGACTCTTAATCCTTGTCTGAATTCATTTTCGCCCATTCCTGCGCGAAGCGCGGAATTTTTCACATTAGAGAAAGAAGACGATTTGTTGTATCGTGTCCTTCATGAATTCAGTTTCTCCCCTAAGCTTTGACGTTTCACTAAATTATAAGAGAAAGACGACGATTCGTTGGACCGTTCTCGACTCTTAATCCTTAATGTTTGAATCAAATTCCCCCTTCCCCGCGCGTAGCGCGGAAGCTCTGATGTTTCATCAGATGATTAAAGAAAGAAGACGATCCTATGTACCATTCTCGACTCTTAAGCCTTGTCTGAATTCATTTTCGCCCATTCCTGCGCGAAGCGCGGAAGCTCTGACGTTTTATCAGATTATTAAAGAAAGAAGACGATTCGATGTACCATTCTCGACTCTTAATCCTTAATGTTTGAATCAAATTCCCCCTTCCCCGCGCGTAGCGCGGAAGCTCTGATGTTTCATTAGATGATTAAAGAAAGAAGACGATCCTATGTACCATTCTCGACTCTTAAGCCTTGTCTGAATTCATTTTCGCCCATTCCTGCGCGAAGCGCGGAAGCTTTCACATTAGTGAAAGAAGACGATTTGTTGTATCGTGTCCTTCATGAACTCAGTTTCCCCCCTACCGCGCGAAGCGTGGAAGCTTTAACGTTTCAATAAATTATTACTCTTAATCCTTGTCTGTATTCATTTTCGCCCATTCCGCCCTTAGCGCGGAAGCTTTCACGTTTCATTAAATTATTCGTAAAAGAAGACGCTTCGTTGTATCGTGTACTTTGACGTTTCATTTGATTATTACGCTTAATCCACGTCTGAATTCAGTTGCCCCCTAACAACTTTGCCATTTTCACTGAATTATTAGAGAAAGAAGACGATGTTTTGGTACTATTCTCTATATTAATCCTTGTCTGGATTCAGTTTCCTCACTGAAAATAATTTGTGTTACAAATAAGTTGTGACATAATAATCTTTCTCCAAAAATGAAAAATCTTTTAGGAAATATCAGGAAATAAAATGAGTGAAAAAAAAAAAATAAAGATACAATGACGTGAATTTTAAAAAAGGGTGAACGGAAACAACATAACAACTAGAGAACTATTTTATAAGTCATACTAATGTCCGAAAATCTTTCTCCTTGTCTCCAATCTCATCACGAAATCGTCACAGAGTTCATCTATGTTTACACTGTCCAGGGTTGTCTGATGTGCATTGCAGATTGCTATTTTTGCGCTTCGCGCTTAACATTTAGCTCGTTGCTTTTTGACGCTGCGTCTTTGCATTTGGCGCACTGCATTTCTATGATGCTGTTGATTGAACAAATTGAATAAATCCATCAATTCCTGATGAAGCCGTATGGGCGAGAATTCAATTTATTCTTGTCTCACATACGGTTGTCTTATTTACTTCGTCATGTATGCATTAGGAAAATGAGATAGCAAAATGTGTATATTGATGGTCATCTTGCGAGTATTAACCATTAACTACTTTCATCGGGCTCTCATCCTTAATTTTTCTCTTCATTTTTTTATTTTTTTATGGTGAATTATTGGGGGGGGGATGATTGTACAGGCCATCCCCCCCCCCCCCACCTGAAATATTGGGGGGGGGGGATATATCCCCCCATCCCCCCGGGATCGACACCTATGTCTACTACTACCCTACCCTTTCTTCTATCATACCTCTACTACCATCCTTCGTCAACTACAACCCTAACCATTCTTCAATCCTACTACTACCCCCATCCTACGTCTACCCCACCCTACCCCTCCCTACGTCTACCCCACCCTACATATTCCTACCTCTACGTCTACCATCAAGCGCCTACCACCACCCTACCCTTTCTTGTATCCTACCCCTACTACCATCCTCTGCCTACCCCACCCTACCCTTTCTTCTATCCTACCTCTACTACCATCCTACACCTACCACCACCCTTCCCTTTCTTCTATCCTACCTCTACTACCATCCTATGCCTACCCCACCCTACCCTTTCTTCTTTCCTACCTCTACTACCATCCTATGCCTACCCCACCCTACCTTTTCTTCTATCCTACCTCTACTACCATCCTACACCTACCACCACCCTTCCCTTTCTTCTATCCTACCTCTACTACCATCCTATGCCTACCCCACCCTACCTTTTCTTC